GGGAGAGCCGTCTCTCGGGTTGGAGCATCCCCTAGGGAGCTGCGCTCCTCCCTCCATCCGACCCATGTATATATCTCATATATATATTTACTTATATATAGTAACAAAGGATAAGATGAGAGGAAGTGGCCTCAAGTTGCGCCAGGGGAGATTTAGGTTGGATATTAGGAAAAAAATATTCACTGAAAGGGTTATCAGGCATTGGGACAGGCTGTCCTGGGCAGTAGTCCAGTCACCATCCCTGGATGTATTTAAAAGATGGGTAGATGCGGTGCTTAGAGGCATGGTTTGGTAGTGGATAGGTTATAGTTGGACTCAGTAATCTTAAAGGTCTTTTCCAGCCAAGTGATTCTATGACTTTGCACCTCTGCTGATGTGTGGTGAGGCAGGTGGCTTCTATTCCTCATATTTGTGTTTCCACAATAGTTCTTGCCATTTCCCAAGGCTGCCCGCTTCAAGGGCAATAGCCAGCTCCTCTTGAGGGGCTGTCAAACTTGCAGGCTGTGTTTCCCCTCTGTGGATGCTTTGGCCACTTTCCTCTGGGCTGGGAGATTGTGAGCCTTTTGGAGAAGGGGCAAGGTAATTTTCCTCTCATGGTCTTGTCTTGTGCAGCAATACATATGCAGATTTTACTGTACACACACACATTAGTATGTATGTAAACTATGCATGAATGTCACGTGGTAGGGTATTTATTCTCTATAAATAAGTTTGACATGTACATGCACACCTTGCTAGATGTACCTGTGGAAGTCAGGATCTAAGATTCTGTTTCTTATGCACACTGACTATCTCACAGCATAGCTGTAGGGCATACCAATGGTACTGAACTGCAGGTGACATTGAGCTTTTACATTCACAGTCCTGAGGGAAGCTTTCTTCCTATAGATCTATTTATTACAGACTTGCATGTGATACGGAAGAGCACTTACAGTCTTTGTAGTTATGAATAAGCTGTATTTGATAACAGCATACCTGTTTTTGTTTGATATGCATGTATGAAAAAAAAATGCAAGCCTACTGAACATTAGCGTCAGTCTCTAGGTTGTCCATGTTACCTGAAAGTAGCACCTGAAAGGAGGTTGTAGCAAGGTGGGTGTTAGTCTCTTGTCCCAAGTAACAAGTGATAGGACAAAAGGAAGTGGCCTCAAGTTGTGCCAGAGGAACTTTAGATTGGATATTAGGAAAAATTTCTTTACTGAAAGAGTGGTCAAGAATTGGAACAGGCTGCTCGGGGAAGTGGTGGAGTCACCATCCCTGGAGGTGTTAATAAAACATGTATTTGTGGTACTTCAGGACATGGTTTAGTGGGCTTGGTGGTGCTAGGTTGACAATTGGACTTGATGATCTGAGAGGTCTTTTCCAACCTTAATGATTCTGTGATGAGTCAGAATATATCTGTATAAAACTGGCAGCACCTTTTTCTTTTCCAGCCTCTGTTGTTGCCCTGTGGGTTCTGTCTTGAGCTGTAGTATGCAGGATATGTTGGGAGGAAGGACTGTTTGGAGACCTCCCAGTCAGGGGAAGATCACTGCAGACCACACAGACTTTCATATTTCATCTCGTAGTCCTTCACATTACAGTAGAAGTACAAAAAGTAATCATGGAAATATTGGAGGCATATACCACATTATTTACCTACTTAAATATCCCTTAGCTTCCTCTCCATTGCCTGCTTTTCTTTTTCTGTTCAGTTTAGATTACATGTGTAGTGTAGCGGAATCTTAAGTTGTTTGTGCAGCGCCAAGTACAAAACCAGTATGAAGTTTTAGGGAATAGATTTGTTTGGATTCCAGGCCTTACTTTCATGTGTGCCTACAAATTCTGTGTTTAAAAACAAAGCTCTAGCATCCCAGCTTTGCCAAAATACAGTTTGTCTAGTCCTAGCCATACTGTTTAATGTATTTTGTTACATACTTTCCCTTTACTCAAGGAATTTACATTGGATCAGTGTGGTTTAAGCCCGGTGGGCACCTCAGCCCCACTCAGCCACTTACTTCTCCCCAGTGAGATGGGGGAGAGATTCAGAAGGGTGAAAGTGAAAAAACTCACGGGTGGAGGTATAAAGACAGTTTAATAGGTGAAGCAAAAGCCACGCACACAAGCAAAGCAGAACAAGGGTTTCGTTCACTGCTTCCGATCGGCAGGCAGGTGTTCAGCCATCCCCAGGAAAGCAGGGCTCCATCACACATAATGGTTACTTGAGAAGACAAACACTGTAATCCTGAATGTTTCTTCCTCCTCCTTTCCCCGGCTTTTGTTGCTCAGCATGATGTCATATCGTATGGGATGCCCCTTTGGACATCCC